CCCCCCGAGGGGTCGACCAGAATACGAGGGCAGGGGAGATCAAGCTCAAAGATCGCTCAAAGATCATCGATCAAACAAGACACAGGATAACAGAGCAACTAATGGAACCGCCCGACTGATCGAAGGTCAACCCGGGTTAGCAGCATGCATATTGACACGCATGCAACAGTACTCAACTCAGCTCAACCACCGACCCATCGCTACGCACCCTAACAATGCAGTGATGATGTCACCTCGCTCGGTGAGAAACGTTTGCAATCAGAGAATAAAACTAATGACCATCACATGGCGTTATTCTTAATTACCTGTTCGATATTTCGGTTGCACTTCATCACAGCGGTGACCGATGTTTTTGGGTGCGTGCAACTAATCGCATCCATTTCGTTACCCTGAATTGGGTCTACAAGAAACGACATTATTTCAGCTCCTCAAATGGCCCAAGTGGTAAGAGCGCGAATTTACTGACTGGGAGGTCCGTGGTTCGAACCCGACCTCTGCCTCTCGACTCCCCCTGTCTATGCTTGGGCAAGCTGGCAGTATCCCAGCCCTCGTGCTTCCTTCGGGTAGCATGGTGGCTAGGCACCAGTAGGGTGCTGCAGCTGAACGTTTTTTCACATAACATCCGTGTGTACACACCAGGCGATAAAATTATTAAACCGCCTGTCTTTTTCACGTTTATTCCATGTCATATGCATGGAATCGAGTGGTATTTGTTTAACAGGTGAAAAACCTCAGCGGCAGTCAACACCGAAATTCTCTTCAGTATTCCATTCCAAGTGCAAAAAGAATCCAGGATAGGTCTGCTTGATTCCCCTTCGTGTGAGTGATTGGAGAGGCTGTAACATATGGCCGCTGTCGATTGGTGTTCTTGCTGTCCGTTCTGGAGGTGCAGATACCTCGGAATGATTGTACTGATTCTGAATCGCGAATAACTAATCGTTCCAGTGCTTTCAGGCGACGTGTGTTCAGGAGATGGGAGCTTTAATGTGGTTTTTCTGCATCAGCTCAGCACATAAACGCGACCAGCAGTACATCCAGACTTCAGGATTCTGAATATTACCAGTTGCTGCCCCCACCAGGCAGGAGAGTGGGATAATGAAACAGAGCAACCCCTCACTCATGTCACCCAGACTTGGCTTCTTCTCTGAATCACAGAGATTTTCAAGTGACCAAAACACTTTCGTTGCCTATGTACTATGTCACCTGAAGGCAGCACGAGGGCTAGGATACTCGTGGTTGCTGGGTTTGGCTTCGAACGACGGACCTCCCGGTTAGTTGTTTCGCACCGTGCATCATCGTCATCCTCGACAGCATGACACAGTGTTCGACACCACTGCTTCACTGCCGTACAACCATGACTTATTTGAAAGCCTTATTGTAAAGAAAAGAGTAAAGGTGGACGGGAAATGGACTTAGTGCTAGATCACCGCAATCATTCCGAGGTGCCTATACATCCAGACATTCACTCAGGCGATCTGGATAGAAAATGACAACAAGAACGCCATTGACATCGGTTGGCAGCCATATCTTATAGTGTCTTCAACCAAGCACAGTGAGGATCACGCATTCCCCATCCTGGAAGGCGAGTAGCACCGACAGCACCCAAGTGTTTCGTGATCTCCTTCATACTCCTCTGCCAAGTCAAGGGTTGGCCACCTGTCTGTTTACGCCACTCTGAATTGGGCATGGAAAACAGCACTCTCTTCGGCAAACGATAGTTTGGCATACGCAACACATGTCCCAACCAACGCAACTTCTGGTGCTGGACACTGAGCTGTCCTAAAACGCTAATCGGGAAGCGTCCGTCAGATGGATATCGACACATTTAGTAAGTACATAGCGCAGCAGTTCATAAAGGTTTGCAGTGAACCAACTAAAGTGTATGGTCGAAACCCCTTTGAACCAGCCAACACCATGGGATACTCTTCTATTTTTTTGCGCCCATCATTCTAGTGTTTTCATGCCACTCGACCAGAATAATGTTTTTTTTAATTCTAAAATTGACCTCTAAGGTTTGTCACTTGCCAACCGGAAATCATTCACCACTGCACATGGGAAGCGAAATGACGACAAAGAACATGGGCTATCCCGTAGTCTCTGTCGCGAGTTAGTCAGACGCTATTTAGGGGACCAAACCCTGTTTTGAATGTACCTTCCGATTGAGGTCGATCCCATGGGGCTGTCTCAAAAGAGGTCTTTTCTGGTACTTGAATAGTTGATGACTCTGTCATTGACTGGGAACATAGCTGCGGTATACTCTTTTGGTGGTGAACCACTTGCGAAGGCTATCAACAAATGACCATTCCAAATCCATCAAGTATTTTTTACTCCAAACTAAAGCATTTGGACACTACTCACATCTTCCATTTGATGATAGCCGGCTGCCAATCAAATCCGTATCGGTCCAATCAGTTTTCCGTCTTTTTCCAGGCTATCAACCAGCCCCTCCTCCAGCCTATGATGCAGCCATGTTCCCCGAGAAAAACCCGCACCCTCCATTACCCCCTGTTGGTCCTGTCGGGTCGCCTGATCCACCGGTACCAAGTGCAGATCCTTCTGTGGCGGTCCCACCACGTGACTCAGATTCAACTTCAGACGAAGGTGGCAACGATGACCAAGATTTCGATGAACTTCAAAGAAGATTTCAACAGCTAACCAACAAGAAATGAGACTGATCTCCTCGCTGTTCCCCTTGTTGTATCTGTCCAGTCACGAAAAATCCCCACCTAACGCATTCACTAATCTGCTTTGCCTGTTCACTTCAGATCTGACGAACGTTTCGTGATTTTGTCTGACTAAATTGCTCTTGGCGTTTCTATTTTTCCTACTCTGTCCGCCCACCATCACCTTTTACGAATTGTGCCTGGAGACACATATCGGTCACTGGCAGATTTTCTGCTGGCCACGTTGTTCATTTTCACATAGTTATCAGAAACATCCACGTCGCTACTTCTATTGTTCCTCGAGCAGACAGGGGAGAAGATGGAATCAACTCCTCCGAAAGCGTCATGTTGTGTTGCGCGTAGACTTTCTATTTAGCGAGGACTAAACAGTGCCGAGTAGTTAAGGTCTTTCTGCGCTACCAAAACAAGATTACTTCCCTGGCGAACCCATCATAACACTCCCCCCCACTTAGCCACGATCACTTGGTGGCCAACATTCCCCGTGAGCTTATTAGTGTGCAGTTGATGATGAAGGTATATGCACTGGTGACAGTTTTTGATATGGTAGATAGTATTCTTTGAATGAAGCAAACTACTCACAAGGTTACTGAAAACTAGTCGACAACGCGCGACCGGTTTCGCCCTTCTTGGGGCTCGTCAGGTAGGCGCATTCCCCGAGTTTCCGTCTACCTGAACCCGAATTAGACTGTTTTCTAGAAATGCACTCATTTGCAAATCAATTTGGTCGAAACTGGTCGTGGGCTGTCGAAAAGTTTTCAGCAACCTTGTGAGTAGTTTCCTTCGTGAAAATATACTGCGATATCTCGAATATCGTGCCAACTGAAACATGAAGCGACCTGTGTGCAGCACATTCAGTTGTAGAATATCATAAACGAGAGATTCAGTCGAGTCTCTCGTGAGAACCAAATTGATTTGCAAATGTATGGTAGATAGTAGTTTACGGTGGCGAGTTGCACCATGTATAAAATCAATGCAATGCGATTGGTGGAGCAAGTCAAAAGGGGAACTTATCGTTTTTGGGAATTCCTTGGTGAAAGACTGGGTGCGGGAACATGTTTTCTCCTCAGGATAGCTGCTACATGTGTTCCCTAATTGTCCGTGGACTTGTGGATTTGGGTTGACTTCCTGTGGTGACTGCGTTTTGTCTTCCTATATATAGAAGGTTTTGACGTGTGTATAATGTGAATACAATCGTTTCGACGCGTACAGGACGGGGACTGGCCTGTTGGTCGACCTTGCGAGCGGGACATGGTTTTGTCACGTGATTTGTGTGTTTGCCGGACAAAGGAGTCGCGTGATCTGGTGAGCACGGATGCACCAAGCAAATTAAGCGAAGTTGATTGAATGAACAAGGATGTGACCGCTACAAGTTTGACGACTCATTTCCACGAGAGTGAGCCCTTGTTGGAAAGAGGACTTTAGTTGTGGAACGTTACTCCAGATTGAGTCCTGTGACACCCTTTCAGTGCCTAACTGCCATCCACCCGAAGGAAGCGCCAGGGCTAAAATACTGCCAGACTGTCAAAACCTAGACAGAAGTAGTCCATATGCAGAAGTTGGGCTGGGAACCAAGGACTTTCAGGTCAGTAACTACGCGCCTTCTGCACTAAGTCATCTCGAGCTCTCGAAGGAACGAGTGAATGACGCGAGCAACTGAAGGAAGGACTTCTGGAACAATGCGTTTTCGAAACAAACGCTTGCGAGATGGACAAAGTGGTTGGAGCGCGGATTCACTGACCGGAAGGTCCATGGTTCGAACCTGCCTCTCGACTTCGCCTGTCTAGGCTTGGGTAACCTGGCAGTATCCTAGCTCTCGTGCTTCCTTCGTATGCCATGGCAGCTAGGTACCGGAAGGGTGCTACAGCCGAACGATTTCGAACATTTTGAAGTGAATCATGACATTCCTTTTGATTCCACTGTATAGTTTGTACCTGGCACGTGATAGCTGCAGCCAATCGCTTTATCATCAGCTTATTGAACTGTACTGAGTACAGGCATACCTGTCTACGTACGTTGTCCACGTTTGTGAATCGTGTGTGGTTCGTGACTTCGAAACGCACTATTTTTAACCTGTATTGGTATGAAAACACTGTAACAGCCGTTCTCTGTCAACGCCGTCTAGAAAACGTGTCGTTGGTGAACAGCAAACGTACGCTCTCACTAAGTAACAGTGTCTGGTGTATTGAGACCGAAAACACAAGCGAATTAGTTCGACAACGTTGCGCAAGGAACTGCCCCGATGCGTATCTCATTGAGACAACTTACTTCCAGATAACAGGTCTTTCGGCGTGTCTGTACCTCTAAACCCTTGCTCGTATCCCGCAACAACGTTTAGTCAGTAACACAGGGATTTTCCGGAGAGTGAACACGTGCGAAACGAGCAAACTGATCCCACTGTTGATTAAGTCAAGTAATTAGAGAAGCGGAAATCGACCTGTCTCACAGCCCTTTTTCGTTCTGCCATTGCCAAGTGGAAACGTCCGAAATTAGGCCACGATATTTATCCGTCGTTGACAACGTCTCCCACGGTGTCTAGAAGATATCACAGGCTAGTCGTTCCTCAGAAATAGCCGGATCTGTCGAGTAATAGTGTCGCCTTTTGGGCCGAAAATGTATGATCGTTGTGTTCTGGCTACAAGTAATGGTGATTGATATATTTCTTGAAGAGCATTATCGCCGTCTTCCTGAATGGGGACCTTTGGACGGGTCCCAGTCGCGCCCTCAATGGCGCTCTTGAGTCCGAGCTATTGCCTTCAATGCATAGCTCCCTTCCCAACCCCCACTGAAAACCCCGTGTTTACGCATCAACTATGTCAGCTCCCGTTTCCCATGCGTAACCACCTGCCCCACCTCCCCAAATCATCGGCTATATCCACTGTACGACAAGTACGCGGTTCTTACAACTTGGACATAACGCACTACGCACAAGTGAGTATATCTACTGAAACCGACCGCTCCGGTTTTAGATAATTCATGTGCTTCCACCAGCCTCTGGGGCAAAAATGTCTGCTCTTCAGAACTTGGTGGATTTAACGAAGCTCATGCATTATCCACCGTTCGGTAAGGAATGTTCAAGGAACTGAAATCCGACGAATGAAGTCCACCTATTTTGAAAAGCCTCAAAGCACTTTTAAACTGTTTCAGCCCCATTCGAAAACATCAGTGCAAATCTATGGGTAGATTCGAACCAGTTACCTTCAGGTTCGTAGCTGAATTCCGCTTCGTTTGTGTACAAGTGGTCGTTCAGCGCATGAACGGGGCGAGATGGTCCAAGTGGTTAGAGCGCGAATTTACTGACCGGAAGATCTCTGGTTCGAACCCGACCCCTGCCTCTCGACCTCCCCTGTCTAGGCTTGGCAGTATCCCAGCTCTCGTGCAACCTTCGGGTGGCATGGCAGCTGGCACCGAAAGGCGCTACAGTTGAACGACTCTTACTTTCCATCCGCCTGTCACGCAGTTCACATCACGTGACCAATACTTGACTGCTGTTTCAGGTGTGTGTGACCCGAAGAAGTTACTTCTAGGCTACGATAGTTTGAAGAGATTCTGGGAGGCAAATTCAGATTTCAGTCACCAACCTGAAAGTTCCGTTTTCCGAATCACTCTATGAATTTGATGGTGACCCTGACAAGAATGTCCAACGCTTCTCATCTCGTCAGGGTAGAATGGTTCCCATTGTATAATCAAATCCCAGTTGGAGTTACGGAATCTCCTCATACTGCTTGCACCTCTTCTACATCTTTACCCTGCTGTTCATTGTTGAAAGGCGTTTAGCAGCCGTCGACCGGCTTCACCCCTTCTCTGGTGCTCATCAGTAGGCAACGGAGTGTGTTTCCCCATATCAGAGCTTCTGTTACTTGAAACTGATTACTCCGGAGTCTATATGGGCTTTTGGAGAAATCGATAAAGGGTGAAAATTATTCCATCTGTTGTCTGTCGATCACCGTTGCTCCTCTCTTCAGCAGTTCGTTCAGAATGACCGAATACTTGGCATATTCAAATGAGACGCCGATAAGCTCGTCAATATATTATTCTTAGACGTTGAGATCTGTACAGCCATAGAACAGAAAGTGGCTTGCCTCGGCCTTCCATCACTCTCATTGGCTGAGCAAAAGGATCCCTACATATGGTCCTTTGTTCGATTTGTTATGCCCCACTTTCGCACGGCGCTATATCGAAAAGAAACATGTGTGTTTCCATCATGTGATCATTGATCGATTATTCGATAGCTGATCACGTGGGAGCCTACTCGAACCAGTAGATACAAGTGGTACGTGCACAATGCGCGTGTCAAATTTTATTCGAAACTCTCGTGCAATTCTTTTCAGTAAAGGCAGTTTGACGTGTACTGGCTCGGTGCACAAAACTTTCTATGTAGTTTCTTACATCGCCGCACCAATTGTTACAGGAATTCTGTAATTTCAAAACATTCCGTATGGGTTTTCGGGTAACATCCTTCTCTCGTGGATTAAATGTCACATCACAAAGGAGACGGAAGCATCCTTGTCGAACCCGATCGGGGTGTCTTGTCATGTGGCTGAGTAGATCCGTCATCCAGGACGATCACTGGTTCGCGGTACGAACAGTTCGGCACGAGCGGTCGGTCATGATAACCCAATTCCGCCTGACATTTGCTGCCAGAAAATCAGTTCCACACTAGTCTCGCACATCAGATGTCTATAGTTCAGAGCTCGGCAAAGCCGAACTTTCGCGCACTGCTGATGATTCTCAGTATGGACGAAACGTGTACAGTGCTTCGCGGTTTCCCAGCACAAATTGACCCCACTGACAGGACGAAATCTCCTTCAAGATCTCCAGATCTGCTCACATTACCAGCAGCCAGATGTACAATATTTGTGTTACGTGATAGCCCTCTCGGACCGAGGTCGTTCTTACCAACAGGTCACATCTTCCAATCATTGGTTTAGTTCGTCGCGGTTACGCATATATCCTAACAGTAGAACAGATTTACTTCATTGCGCCTCTCTTTGAAATCCTACAGGGAAGGCCAAAACTACCTCTATTTTACCATGAAGTGTTCACGACAAACGACCTTATCGGTTGCGTTCTGTAGGCGACTAACCGCCACACTTTTGAACGCTTGAAAACGTAGTGGGTTCCTTCAGGTTTAGCAAAGGTAAATAGAGGATTCCTATTAGATTAGCGGTAATCTGACCTTGAAAATCGACTGGAAGCTTTGTCTGAGATCATTCAAAATTCTTGACAGAAATTTGGCGAGTCATTAACTCGTTCTCACATAATTGTAGGATGACCACTCTGATCACGTTTACTGAACAGAGGAGGAATTCAACCGTATCAGGTCCTGTGCTTTGAGTATCTGTCTTCGGAAGGCAGCTAAGTTCCACTATACTACTATTTCAGGGTGAAATTGCGGTCGATCGATTGCACGGTTCACAAGCCTATGTCTCTGGGTGTTGCTGTGCTCTGATCTACCCAGGCTAACTGACACCACACGCCAAAATGTTAAGAATATCCAATACCCGTCGCTTAACTCCAAGCAGATTTTGTTAACAGCTCCACTTTGACCAAACGGTTAAAGGTGGTTATGACAGAAGCCCTGTCATCCTGCCAAGAAATCTTCCAGAAGTGCCATTTTTGTGCGGTGCATCCGAGTAGAACAAAGACAAGAACGAACAGATTTTTCACAATCCTCCTTTGTTTTCATGTATCTTGAGCACATAGATACTGGCTTTCAATACTCATCTGTCTAGCATTTTCGTTGCTTGGCAACGCACAGCGTTTCCTTAGTATTCCTAGACATGCAACCCGTGAAAACTGATGTAGCTGCGACAGACCGTTCTTGCCTATGTAGGTGAACGGCATACAGCCTTGGCGAACAGGCAGTGTGAGGCGTCTTCAGGTTCTTGACCACCGATGCCTCAGGAGCGTTGCTGATATCGGATGGCGTCAACGAATTCATAATGAGGTATCAGGCATTAGCGAATATACAGTCATTTGCAAACTAATTTGGTTTTTTCGAGAGACTCACCTGGAATCCAGCTGAATTCTCTCGCCCAAGAAGGGCGAAACCGGTCGTGGGCTGTCGACGAATTTTCAGCAACCTTATGAGTACTGCGTTACAAATACAGAGGTATCGGGTAATTCAATCCAGCACCATCAACTGCGGTGGCTCAGTCATATGCTACGCACGCCGAAGTATCGTCTATCGAGATGAGAATTGTTCTCCCTGCCTCCTTCAGAATAGAGCGAACCGCGAGGTGGACAATGTATGACTTGACAGAAAGGTTTGAACGAGATGACGAAGAGTTTCGGTGCGATACGCGCCTTCCAGGATGGGGTCCCTGTGACCCATCCGCGTTTTGGTGGAATCCAGCTGAATTCTCTCGCCCAAGAAGGGCGAAACCGGTCGTGGGCTGTCGACGAATTTTCAGCAACCTTATGAGTACTGCGTTACAAATACAGAGGTATCGGGTAATTCAATCCAGCACCATCAACTGCGGTGGCTCAGTCATATGCTACGCACGCCGAAGTATCGTCTATCGAGATGAGAATTGTTCTCCCTGCCTCCTTCAGAATAGAGCGAACCGCGAGGTGGACAATGTATGACTTGACAGAAAGGTTTGAACGAGATGACGAAGAGTTTCGGTGCGATACGCGCCTTCCAGGATGGGGTCCCTGTGACCCATCCTGCGTTTTGGTGGAGGCATTACAAGAAATGCCGGCCATATGATGTCACTAGCGTCCGTGCTGTCAGTTTCCAGATTGTCTGACTTGGTGTTTGGCGATGTAAGCCCACATAATGCCTGAGATGGACCAGCGCCAGTCTCTTTCGCTCACCTCTTCTTTTCACTCTTAGTTCTTCGTATAATTCGATCAACTTTGCGGTTAGATGACAATGAAACACTAATGTCAATAATGACTTTGCTGTCACTGATGTTGATGATGATGATGTCAAACAGGCGTTGGAATGTTGCCGTAATGTCATTAAAAAGACAATGGACGGACGAATTGCTTTCAGGATCTCGTCTTCAGAATCATTATCGTCATCATCGACAGCACGACATCAGTGTCCAACACCGATGCTTCACGGCCGTACAACCGTGATTTATTTGAAAGCCTTATTGTAAAGAAAAGAGTAGAGGTGGGCAGGGAAGGGACTTAGCGCTAGCTTACCACAATCATTCCGAGGTGCCTACACCTCCAGACATTCACTCAGGCAATCTGGACAGAAACTGACAACAAGAACGCCACTGACATCGGTTGGC